ATATATATATAATATACATATGGTATGAAAAAATGTACATAGGAGGCTGGGAGACAGCTCAGCACTAAAGTGCATTTACTACTCTTGCAGAGGACCCAAATTTGGTTCCCAACACCCACAAGGTATGTTGAGTTCACAACCAGGTGTAACTCCAGTTCTAGGGGATATGATACCCTCTTCTGGCCTCTATGAGCAACTGCATACACATACTACCCATACATACATGGAAGCAAAACACATACACAGAATAAAAACAAAATTAAAAAAAGTATGTTTTGTACAGAGATAACAATATCCCCCTCACCCCCTATTAACAGCTGATCAGATACCTACAAAATCCTCAAACGGTGATTACATATAATTCATAAACTAAAGCTGACCTTGGAATCTTTGATCTGTAGATGCTTTCAAAGTTTTGGAATTGTGTTATCTCCTTTTACAACCTATTACAAAGGAAAACCACACAGTCTTCTTGGAATGAGGGTGTATCAGTGATAGCGCACATGCCTAGCATATGATAAGCTTTGCTTCAGTCCTCTGTACTGGAGGAGTTGGGGAGGAGAGACTTATAGTGTTTACTGTTGGTAAGGTTTAGAACATTCTCATATTGCTGGTGGGAATAGAAGTTGGTGCAATAGTTTCTCAGGGCCATTAGGACCATGTCTATCAATATTTTAAAATGCCAAGGGTGGCACACATGTAATCTTAGCACTTGAGAAGCAGAGGTCCAGGCTAGCCTGTCAGTGGCAGCAGGAGTGGAGGGGAGGCAGCTCCATGTGGCTGCCTGTCCCAGCCCAAGGAATTCTTCAAGAGGCTTCTCAGGTGAAGCTAGGATCTGGACTGGCTGCAGTGGTAAGTATCCTAATAATAGCCATGCTTAGATTTTGGTGGCTTTTGAAGTTATATTCTTTAAAAGAGTTGTTAGGACCCTGCCCCCCCTCTTTTTTTTGGTAAATGAGCTCATAGGATGGTAACTCATAGGTAATGAGGGTCAAAGGAGTCCTTAACCAGGTTACAAGAGGGTTAAGACATAGATTTTTTTAACTGTCAACAATGTTTATATCCTTTGTGAGGTTCTCAGAAAGTTAAGGGCTTATGATTGGGAAGGGTCAAATTCAAAGGTCTTAGTGTGGTTCATTACTATGTTAACATTCTTTGAAATATCTCTATAAAAGGAATATGGAGGGGGCTGGAACAGTTGCTCAGCAGTTAAGCACAGTTGAACACCCTAATTTGGTTCCCAGCACCCACATGGCATCTCAAAACCATCTGCAACTATGGTTCCTGGGGACCCAATGCCCTCTTTTGCCCTTCATGGGCAACAGGCATGCATGCAGGCAGAACACTAATATACATAAAGCAGGAATAAATCCTCTGGTCTGGAGAGATGGCTCAGTGGTTAAAAGCACTGACAGCTCTTGCAGAGGGCCTGGGTTCAGGTGCCAGCACCCACATCACACCTAACAACTGTTTGTAACTCCAGTTCAGGGGGTCCAATGCCCTCTTCTGACCTGTGGGCATTGCACAACATGGGTGCACTTACACATTAAAAAAAAAGAATAAACCTGCTCACCTCCCTCTATTTCCCTGAGCCTGCATGACCTGCAGGTCTCTCTCCAGGGTAAGTCGATTGCATGGTCCATGCCTTGACTCCTGCAGCCTCATTCACCCTCTCATCTCCCCTGCCAGCCTCTCCTCCTAGCCTGGGCTCTGTCCCATTCCTTGTCTTGACACCCCAGACACCGGGGGAACCACCACTGCTTCCTGATCTTTTGTATCCAGACCAACCCAGTTACTTCTGGGGTCCCAAGGAGCCCTCTGGTCCTGGCCCTGCCCTCACCTCCCTCTGTTTCCCTACGCTGCACAACCCACCAGCCTCATTCCTGGATGCCAGGGGTGACCTTTCTGCTTCCTGATCCTTTGCATCCAGACCAACCCAGTTCCTCAGTGCAGATCCCAGGAGCCCTTGGGGCCTCTTCCCGCCCCCATCTCCCTTTGCATCTCTGGGTGGCATGGCCACCAGCTGCCCTAGATCAGCATCTTTCCTGGGCCCTGCTCCCAGGCCAGTCCAACCCCCAAATTTCTGAGACCAAAATCTTTCCTGGAGGGATCCAGACTTTGAGAGAAAGCCTGAGAGCATCTGATCCTCATCTGACTTGGGCCTCTGTGGGAACTCCTGAAGACAAAAGCAATCT